CGAGTTCCTTTAGGTTGTTATTTGCAAGTATTATACTAGTATCGTCAGCAAATAGATAAAAGGCAAATAACGAAGAGGACTTGTAAATATCATTGATGTACAGTAGGAATAAGAGTGGTCCGAGGACTGAGCCTTGTGGCACGCCGCACAAGGTCGTTTCAGCCTCAGACACAACATTATTAACTTCCGTAGTTTGCTTCCGATCAGTCAGGTATGATCTGAACCAGGAGTTGATTACACCTCTAATACCATAATTTTCAAGTTTAGCTAACAAAATTTCATGGTTAACAGTATCAAAAGCCTTTTTGAGATCGATGAAAACACCGCACGAAAATTTACCGTTGTCCATGTTTTGGAGAATTGTGTTAACAATATCAAGTACAGCATGCTGAGTACTGTGCTTACTGCGAAAACCGTATTGCTGATCATAGAGAATGTTGCAATCTTTGACAAACTTGGTAACTCTGGAGTACATAAGTTTTTCAAAAATCCTGTTATAAATCGAGAGCAGAGAAATAGGTCGGTAGTTTTCGGGCAGCGTGTCATCTTCGTCCTTAAATATCGGGATTATCTTAGCACACTTTAGTTTAGATGGAAAAATCCCTGAGAATTTTATGCTGATCTAAAAGGTACATGGGCCAGTTTTTTGTCCAATGTTTTTAGGAGGGAGTATTTTGTATAAATTGTCTGTACAAATTAGTGGGAATTTTATGGCTATTTGTCTCCGCAAAATCACTGTTTTTTCACTGCTCGATCCTGATGTGATTTATCAGTGATTTCTGTGCGAGTGTTACTAAGAATCTACCTTGGCAAAAATCATGCCTAAAATTGCATTAAATGTCACCTGCGTAAATGGGCCTTTAACAATATTTATCTGTCCTTCTTCATTCCAGGAGCGATACCTAGGTGGAGCCTAAAAAAGAAAGAAGGTTCGTCGTCTTGCTGACAGAAAGTTTGTGTTTGACTGGGACACAGGGGAAGACACTGCAGTCGACTACAATCCACTGTAAGTAATCACATGACTGTACCAAGCTTTTTGGTGCAATCACCATTGACACGTTTAGTTGAAACAACCTTTTTTATTGATTTTTTTGGCGCAGTAGTTTTTATTTATTTTAATTAGTATTATTGAGACACACATAACAAACTGGTTTTACGCTGTTTGTGAAAAATACAAATCATTGTAAATTATTGAATGTAGATTTACCATAGCTGACTTGACTGTATTGCTGTATTGTACCAATAATTATCACGACGGCTCTTGATTCAAAAGCTTCAAAACAACACAGGCTCTTGTCACAGTCCGGAGGTACTTACCTAAGGGTGGTGCTGTTAAAATTTTGGCTGTTTTAATAATACAACTCTTGTTTGGACTAAGATTTCAATGTTGCCAGGTATATGCAATTTGAATTAGGAGGTTGGGAGCTGGAAGTTCTTTTCCTTCCATATTTTAACAAATCAATTAGACCATAGAAATGACATCAAAATGTTCATAACTCAAGTGAACCACGAGCCGCAGGCCTTTGAAAGTAGCAGGGGGTCATATTCTTAGTTGCGGGGGGCCTGTGCCTCACTGACACCCCCGAATTAATGCCAGTTATTAAAACAGGTTTCAGATCTAAACATAGGTTTTCAAGAGAGCGATTTTCGTATGACCTTGAAATGAAAACGCGCGGACAAAAAGGAAACAACAAACGAACGGAAATATAGCGATTTGATTGGTTTATCGAACGGATACAAACGCGCGTGGGTTTTGGTTGGTTAAGAGAACGCTCGGGTGAAAAAGTTTCATGCCCGAGAACTTTCTAGAAATCAACCGATACTTCGCTTTGACGTCATACTGCAACACGATTGACCAATCGAACAATGCCTTCTCCGTATTAGGATTTTCTTTGGCGAGAAAACGAAGAGGCCATGTTTTGATCTTTTCAAATACATTTTAAAAGCGAATACCAAGAAGAAGGCTTTTGCATGCTTTTGACTAGGCAATAACATAATGTGAACTGCTGAGAATACATATCAAACGATACAGCAGAATTCAGTGCCAAACTACCATTTTTTAATACGGTGTTTAACGTAAATTCCCCAACTTCGTCTCGTGTTCTACTCCAGCACCAATAAACCACCAATTTTTCTTTTTTGGCAAAATACCGGTTGAATTAGAAAGCCGCAGGTCATCTTAGAGGGGAACGGGGGTGCGCGAACCCCTCCACCCTCCCCCTAAATCCGCCCCTGAGGTGTACATGTACACACTTCTTCATCGTCATTATCAGCATCCTTCTGCCTCAGCCGAGACTCCTCAAACTACTCCTTTTCACATCGATCTTTTTTGTATCAGCCATCACAATAGAGACCTAAAGTGGAGGCCGAGGAGGGGATTTAAGTTTGATTTTTTCGCGTATTCTTAAAAAATCCAACCCCGGAAGGCTTCATTGTACTTTTTTCACCAGAAAAGTTAGCACAGTTATTTTTATTGAAGAAGGTTTTAAAGTTCTCTCATGAGCGTCTTGATACTAACTTGTTTCCGTTCCCGCTAAAACTTGTAGTAGAATCACGACGGCTATCGCGTTTTCCCGCCAAAATGATGTTGGCTCACGCGCGAGCACTACTACAAAATCTCGTCCTCGAAGTCGTCCTCTTCTTGGATCTGTTATTCAAGTTCCTATCCACAGTCCCTCATCAGGGAGCTCTAGCATCTACGACGGCGAGGGAAGCGCAAACGTCACACAAAAAGAGAATTCGCGATGCTTCAAACCTCTCGGAATTTATTCCATCTCGTTGTCCAATATTGGCGAATTTTTCAGTAGTTGAATTCTAAATGACTGTAAGTAAGTTCAGAAAAAGAAAAATTAAGGCTATGTTCACACTAGTACAGATAGTTTTTGCGCCGACTCGAAAACCATATCGGACAGGACTTCTGTTCGCACATAAGGGCGGTGATTCCAGCGCGAGTTCTGTAACGGAGCGAAGCTGCGCGGCGCCGCACTGATCTGTGGAGGGTCACATATCCGATAGGTATTCACACTAGAGGAGCACACAAAAAGCTATCGTTTCTCTTGTCCACGTCCTTCATAAAATATGAAATTTGGAAGTTTGGTGCAACAATGGCAAAAAAGATACAAAAAAGCGTGATGCACTTGCAGAGTTGTTGTTTTGCTTAATAAACCTATTGCTTTTCGCCGTTCTCGTTGCCCCGGCCGTTGTTGTTGCTAAAGCTGCTTAATATGATGCCAGGAAAGGTTTAAACTTTCTACGTCTCAATGGACGCGGCTAAGTCTCTAAAAAAAGATGAATTTTCTCAGTAGTGATGTATTTTTTCATTGGCCTTTATTAGGATTGAAGTGGTTAACCCCTCTACAACAGCCACTCCGGCCCTTAGGTGGCCCGTCTTTGCGAGACTCGGCTGTGCACTAGAATGTTAGTATGTAGTGAGGTGACAAGTCTTAAAGTAATAATCCTTGGAAAATGATTTTTTTCTTCCCAGTGGCAAAAGAAGGAGACAGGAAAGTTTTATCAGGAAATGTTGGAGACAAGACGAACTGTTGAGGAAAAGACCCAAGAGGCGTAAGTATCTTATCGTGCCAATAATTAACAAAAAACACTACTAGCACTGACGCGAATTGCATTTGAAATTAGTTCAATCCTAGAAGAGATAAAAATTGTCCCGAACGGGACAAATTATGTCTTATGTCCGTATTGCACTGTGATTAATGTACGTTTCCCGCGCATTTTTGAAAAGCCTGGTTCCAGCGTACATGTCTGTCAATCGAGGTTTCCGTCGTTTGCCTGTTAGAAAACTTGGAGTCCGGAAAAGAAAGTATTGTCTTAGAAAAAGTCCGGGAAAAGCCTCGAATTTTCCGCCATCCAAAACTCTGTTCGAACCATGCTCTAGTTGTGGACACTATTTCCGCTTCTCGAGGGTATCAGCTCAAGAGAGCGTCAACTGTAATTATTTGAGAGATTTAGAATAACGTTTACGGCAAACGGTAAACGTCAGATTTAAGTTGACAATTTCTCAAATTTGGAAATGAGAAGGTAAAAACTGTCCAAAATCCTTCTTACTAATGAACCTCAGTGGCATAAAACTTCTAATATTAGAGTGCTTGAGGTCTGAGGACGAGAACGAGTACGAGTACGAGATTTAACTTAAGGTTTTTGCGCGTGTTCTAAAAAAAAAAAAAGACACCACGGAAAGCTTCATTGTACGTTTTTCACCAAAAAGGTCAGTACGGTTATTTATACTGAAGGAAGTTAAGCCCTCTCCCGATGGCAAAATGATAAAACTTCTTACACTGCATTAGATAACTTGTTCCTGCCACTACGAGTTCCTCGTTAAAACTCGTTGTAGTATGTCGACGGCTATCACGTTTTCCGGCCAAAATGACGCTGGTTCACGCTTGAGCAAAGTCGTCCTCGTCAAAGAATATAAGAGTTTCTTTACTAAAATCCAAATCCGGATTTTTAATCCGATCTCGGATTTTAGTCAGGAAACGCATCCTAAAGCTCTACATTTAAGTAGATATAAAAAACAATAAACGACAAGTAAAGGAGAAACTTGGTCACGTTGTACAAATTTCCGTTTGCCGTTTGCCGTAAACGTGACTTGTGGTTCCTTCTTTTTTAGGACGCGAATAAAGAAGCAGCGTGATCAGGAACGACAGCGTGCGTTCGATGATCGTCACTGGAGCAAAAAATCCTTGGAGGAAATGGTGGAAAGAGATTGGCGGATCTTGCGAGAAGATTTTGCCATCTCTACAAAAGGCAAGAGATTCTAGGACAGGCTGTTTTTTTTAGAACCTGTTAGGCTAAAATTTGCTAGTTAGGGCCCCTCTATACAAGACCCTGTTGTAAAATTTGAAACAGGTTCTTCTTTAATAAAGTCTTTTAAAAGATTCTGTACACTTGGGCAAATAAGGTAAGTCAACATTCAGAATCTCCTTTGGAGACATGGGTGCCTTATTACTCCAGTTAGTGGTTTTACCTAAGGAATGAGCTGATGAGCTTAATACCACTAAATACTCTTAGCTACAATGTTTTTGTTTGTTTTTTCAGAAAATAAGAACCAATTTAAGAACCTAAATAGCCTAAATTTGCGTTAATTACCATATATGTAAGAACCTGTCCAGCTAGGTTTTTGCTGTTTTTTCTCCCTCCTCATGGCAGGTGACAAGATTCCATTTCCTCTGCGCTCATGGAGAGAAAGCACCCTTCCAACTTCAATATTAGATATTGTAGACAAACTGCAATATGAGGTAAGCCAGCCGTATCGTTTCGGTACGAACTCAAGCAGTGAAATTGCACAAGAATTTCGATCACTTCAAGTATTTTTATTTTGTAAAGTTTGCAATTGAACAAGAAAAACATTTTGGGTGAATAATCGAAACGACCGGTAACCCTTTAGCTCAGTCACTTATCCCCCCCCCCCCCCCCCCAAACTACCCCACCCACAACGGCCGGCTTTTTTTTTTCCCCTTAAATAAAAACACTTTTTTTCTCTCGATTTTCCCAGTTTTTTAGGTTTGGGGGGGGGGGGCAGGGTTTTTTTTTTTTGCTCCTTGGTTCTGGGGGTGAGGCTGCAGGAGATTAAATATTAAAAAATTTGCAAGTCAGATCAGTGTTTGTTTTTTTTATTACTGAAATATTAAATATTTGTGAAAAACCCAATAAGGTGGGAACCAACCGTTTATTTTCTGGAGGAACACGATAAGATAAAAAGGAAAAAAAATTTATATTCTTTTACTTTTTTTTTTTTTTAAAAATTTAGAAAGAAAAAAAAAAAAAATTTTGGTTAAAAAATGGAACGCCCGGGAACCCTTTTGATCAGACTCCTAATCCCCCCCCCCCCCCCCTTAAATGTCACAACCAGAATGGCGCTGTTTTAATTTTCACATTCAAGTTAAAACGTTTCTTTACATCGATATTCACAGTTTGTAAGGTTTGGAAGACGGAGGCAATGTTATTATTCCTTGCTCACTTGGTATGAGGGTTAGACTGTCAGAGTATACATTGATAAAAAGTCTCGAAGCATCATCGGTTATGCTTTTCTTAATCTATTCACTTATTTAGCCACAGCAGGGCTACCTCAGTTGGTAGATCAGCAATGGTTGCAGACAAGAAAGTTGCAAGTTTGATCTCCGTAGCTAGGCCAGCACTCAGTGTTGTAAAATAACTGAAAAAAAATGTTCTGCTCTTTGCAAACAGCTAAACCTTTGCGCGGCTTGGATGACCACTTTGAATACAATTGACTTTGAAATAAAGTCGATTTATTTATTTCTTTTTTATTTGTTTATTTACTGGCCAGTTTTATCTACTTAAAAGGGAAAGAAGTGATGTTTTCTTAAGGGCAGAGTTTACGCTCAGAATTATATGATTTTCCCATGTGAAAAAATTCGTTTAACTCGTACAAATGTTTCATTTGTACATAGCGAAAGTAAAACTTTAGAACAACTCGTACATTATCTATCGTGTGTGTTCATAGGAACCAACACGAATTTAGCGCCAAGCCATTCCTATTGGACTTCAGAACAGGGACATCATAGGAGTAGCTGAAACAGGTGAAGTGAGAACTCAGTAGGGTAGACTATTAGGAAATTTTTAACTATAGAAATTGTATTGCAATAGGTCACACGGATATTGAGAATAGGCGGATAAGACTTTTTTTTTTTTCAATAAAAAGGTAGTGGTAAAACAGCAGCATTTCTGATTCCTTTATTGGTGTGGATTATGGGGCTGCCAAAGATTGAACGTGACGCAGATGCTGATAAGGGACCTTATGCTGTAATCTTAGCTCCAACCAGGGAACTGGCGCAACAGGTTAGTTGGTCAATTCGCCCTCAGGCGAGTTGGCATAAGGGCCTCATGTCAACTCACCAGGGAAATGGCGCAACAGGTTAGTTGGTCAATTCGCCCTCAGGCGAGTTGGCATGAGGGCCTCATATCATCTCACCAGGTAGCCTGTTCCAGTCGTTCAGATTGTAGAGCGCGGCGGTATGTGGGGAGCGAGTTAAGTAGTACACCGGGAAAACGGAGGTGGACAGTGATGAGAAATGCGATATGGAGGGAGAGAGACATCTGTTATCGAATCACGCGTACATCGAAGCTAATATAAACAATGCAATCGAGCATTTCTTGTATTAGGAATCTTTTCGTGAAGAGCAGAAAATTTGCTTGAATCTCGTTCGCCGAGGCCAGGACGTTTTCGCGATTCTTCCAACGGGCTCTGGGAGACCTTCATTTTCCGATTCTTTCCAAGAATAATAAACGTAATCAAAGGAAATGTTGGCGGAGTCAATTTCCACGATCGTCATCGTTGCGCCTCTCGTAGCCATAATGAAACCAAGCTCAAGCGATTTGGAATAACAGCAACAACAGCCATAGGTTGGGGACAGAAGGAAGGCATGGACGAAGACACGGCAGTGTGAAAGGAAGGTCAGTGCGTGTGAGATCATTTATGGAAGCCCAGAAAGGCAAAAAAAATCTTATTTGAAAGGTTATTTAGCCGCAATAAAAAGATTAATGCTTTAACAGAGGTCAATTAAAGTCAGTACTTAACTGCATCTGGAATCAAATTCTTTCAGAAACAAACCGCAGGAAATAATTGCCCAGTATGCATGACTGATCGTCTAAATCGTAGACTCAGAGGGACAGAAATTAGATTTCCTTAGTTAAAGGAAGGAAAACCTCTGATGTGGTTTATTGAAAGCTGACTCAAAGGTCACGTTTGACACTATCACGAGCTTATGAGTCGCGTCTAGCCTGTCAGCACTTTGTTTTTCATGTCACAGTTACCCGGTCGGCGGTCAATTAAGGGCGGAAAGAGCTCTGTAAGGGAATGTTTACAGGCGTTCTCTCCCCCCTTCCCCCTCTAGTCTCCCCTCGTTTTTGTTTTCTTCGTGAATTTTTCTCCCGCGCTCTACTATCTGAACGCCTGGAACAGGCTACTCACCAGTGAACTGGCACAACAGGTTAGTCGGTCAATTCACCTTCAGGCGAGTTGGCAAGAGGGCCTCATGTCAACTCGCCCCAACCGTTTCGTCTAAACAGTTGAGGCTCGCGTGCAAAAATTCACCCTTCCGTTGCTTTGTGCTTTGAGCAACGGTTAATTTTTTAGGAAAAAAGCCGAGTTTTTGTGGTCTACATTCATGGTATTAGTACATACGTACATACATACTTTCTTGTTTCCTTCCCAAAGGGGCTTTTCGGGAACAATCATTATTTACAATCATTACATTTAATTACAACACTTACATTATTACTGATTACAGTGCTTAACTTGTTACTAATTACAATACCTAACTTAGCTAAGAAGCATTTACAAATTTATCTAAAAGCTTGTTCGTTAAGACAGTAATACACCTTCTCGTCAGCAGTAAACTAAACTATTAGTTCGACTAACTCGCCAGGAATCGTGTCGTAGGTTAAAAGAAAGTACCTTTATTGTTATAAGGGATTACCGCGTTAAATCAGAGCCAACGGTGCGCTTTTTTTTTCTAATCTTGCCAGATCGAAGATGAAGCTGCCAAGTTTGGTCGTCCTCTTGGCGTCAGGACAGTGTCTGTGATTGGTGGGGTAAGAAATCTACGCATAAGTCTGACGATGTCGTTATCAATGGTGTCGTAGCTACCCTGGGTGCAATGTTGGAACAATTCGAAACAATGTTGCAACGCTTTGTTGTACTAAAATCGTCCCGTGAACATCACCTTAAATCATGTTCGCGCACCGAATCCGCCTTAACGAGGTACAACGTGATTTATCCTACATATTCTTAAAGCGGGCATCTTCGGCCAGGGTATGTCGTAGCTCGTGCCGAAGGAGTTTCCGTCCCGGTGGCGAGAAGAATGGAAAGGGACCGAGGTTTTCAACCGTGCGTTTATTCCTTCTCCAACTTCCCTCTGAGCTTAGAATTCCTTCCCTATAATTCGTAGAGACGGCTGTTGCTCGGTTTCCGAAATAAAGTGATTCCCTGAGAAATGCGTGAAACGGAATTTCGTGGTTGCTGAGCCCGGAGGTAGTCGCTTAACAGAGAGTCTAAATACAGCGTTTGTGTCAAATGGGATTTTGGAATTGATAAGGGAGATAAGCAGTCAGCCATAAAATAAATAAAATTAATAAAAAGACAGTTAACACGTACCTTTTATACATTTTATCTCCAGCTTTCTCGCGAGGACCAAGGATTTCAGCTCAGGCTTGGTTGTGAGGTAAGCTAATCTCTAGTTCCCTTTTCGTGCGCTACAACTAGCCTCGTGGCCAGAGCGAGAGAGGAAGGAGGAAGTTCCCTCGTCCCTCGCACGCTCCTCGCGGTATCGTTCGCCCGAATTCCCCCTCTCCCTCTTCATTCCTCCCCCCCCCCCCCCCCCACCCCCCCCCCCCCCCCTCACCCACCCCCCCAAACCCCCCCCCCACAACCAGAACCGAGAAAAAATCACTCAACACCTAATGAATTACAAAGGAACCGGGAGCAAAAGCACACCCGCCACGGACGTCAGGATGACCTTTTTTACATTTTATTTCCCGCGCTCGCGGCAGGGCGAGGGATGTCCGCTCACGCTTGGTGTTGAGGTATGCTAAACTCTCTTTCCCTTTTCGGGCGCTACAACTCGCCCCCGGGCCAGGGCGAGAGAGGGAGGGGGAAGTTCCCCCTGCCCCCGCCCGCTCCCCGCGGGGTCGTTCGCCCGAATTCCCCCCCCCCCCCTACATTCCCCCCCCCCCCCCCTTACCCGATCGAGCACCTGCCTCGTAAGCTACACCACAACGCATCCTCCAGACAATGAGAACGAAGAAAAATTCATTCACCACTTAAGAAATGGAAAGGGACCTGGAGCCGAAACGCGTCCCGCAAGTGGTTTTGGGATCGTTACTGGGAACGCGCCGGTAAGCTATTGGCCTTGTTTTTTCCGTGACCCTAGTAACAGTCCCATAACTCTTTGCGAAAGTTAACTCGGCCCAGATTCTCTCTCCTTTTTAAAGTGGCGAGTTGTAGAGAAGTGTTTGTTGCCTTTTATATTAACATGTATCGCTGAGTACTTACGCCGTTATTTTTTTCCAGATTGTCATTGCTACACCTGGTCGTCTGATTGATGTACTCGGTAAATATTTTCTCTTTATTTCTCATATCTACTGTTGCAGTGTTGGCATCCTACGGTATCGCAAGAAGATTCGAAAACTACAATCATTGGCTGTTTACCGTTTTTTCGAAGTAACACTGTAATGCAAAAAAGTCCGCCATCCTCTTCTTTTTATGTTTGAGTCTACTTTTATCCTAACTGTCCTAAGTCAAGTATAGTTGTCTTGTGGTAGTGTACTAAGTTTTTAGAGACCTTTAGATTCTAGAACGAGAACGACTACGAGTACGAGATTTGACTTATAGTTTTCTCGCGTATTCTCAAATTTTAGACACCCCGGAAAGCTTCATTGCACTTCTTTTTCACTAAAAAATTAGCACCGGTGTCTTTACTGAAGGAGCACAAGCCATCTCCCTGCCGCAAAATGATAAAACCTCTAACGCTTTAAAACTTGTTTCCGTTACCACGACATTCTCTCGAAAACTCATAGTAGAATGACAACGGCTATCACGTTTTCCCGCCAAAACGACGCTGCTTCACGCGTGAGCAATACTCAGTACTGAGAAAATCTCGTACTTGTAGTCGTACTTTTCTCTGAATCTAAAGGTCGCTTTTATTTAGGTTAACCAAGGTAGGAAATTTTCTTTCATCAACGGCCTCTGCTCCTGGAATCGATGGAGGTTTCAGTCCAGGACCCCAGTCCTAACTCCATTAGTTCTCTGCCTACTGTTCCTCTCCCTGTCTTTCATAACCTGAGAAAACAGCCGACATTTTGTCGACGCAACCACTGGTTTTCTCGCCAAGTGACGTCAGAGAAATGAGCGCAGAAATTCCATACTGATGACGCGTCACTACCCAGATCTAGGTAGTGCTTCTGATTGGTTGAATCAAATTTCCCACGCGGCACGACCAATCAGAAGCTACCCAAATCTGGGTAGTGACGCGTCGTCAGTATGGAATTTTTGCGCTGGTTTATCGGACGTCATTTTGCGGGGAAACCAGTGGTAGCGTCGCCAAATGTCGGCTGCTTTCTCAGGCTATGTCGTCCAGGGTTTCTGCATTTGTCGTGCCTTCTGGTGCCCATTTGATGTCGTTGCCGGAATTGGAATTGGGGAGAGTTAAACTAAGTTATTCAAACTTCAATGCGAAAATGAATCTAACGGTGTCTTCTCTTAGAGATGGTGAATGTGAATCTGTGGAGTCGCAATTTCGTTGTTCATAAGATTTGAGCGAGTAATTGATTGAAGCTTTTTGTTCTTCTTTCTTCTACAGAAAATCGATACCTTGTACTCAGTCGCTGTTCATACATTGTTCTTGATGAGGTTAGTAGTTTTAATTTAGATGTTAATTTGTTTTTTTTTTTGTTTTTTTTTTGCGAAATTTTGAATCAGACAAAGTATAAGCTGATTTACAAAGGAAAATTCGATAGAAAGCCCTACTCTGTACTCAATCATTCGTCTTCAGAAAATCTAAGCAAATGTCTGTGGTACTATTGTAGGCTGATCGTATGATTGACATGGGCTTCGAACCTGATGTTCAGAAGATCTTGGAGCATCTTCCAGTGAGCAACGTCAAACCTGATTCTGAAGATGCCGAGGATCCAGAAAAGCTGTTAGCTTATATGGGAAAGGACAAGTTTAGACAGGTTCGTATAAATAAATAAATAAATTAATTAATTAAACCGCAGGCTCAATGTTTCAGAGTTTTTAGACGGGGGGGCGGGGGGGGGCTTGTTAGAAGTAGGCGGGGCTTAACATGAAGTTGCCTTTAATATAATAGTGAACTTACGCAACAGGACAGGAGAGGAAAGAAGACGGCAAACCTTGTGTGACAAGCGTGACAATAATTTTGTTTGAAAAAACAGACCAGAAAGCATTAATGATAAGGGAAGACCACGACAACACTCCCAAGTAATAGCCCTGTCACGTTTGTCACGCACAAGCGTTTTGCCGTCCTCTTCTTCCTGCCGTCCCGTTGCGTAAACTCACTAATATCTGTTTGTAGCCTTCGTATTTCGTTTGCTTCAACAACGAAAATAGGAGACGTCTCGTCGAAGACATGAAGTTGAGACTCTAGTCAGTGGACACTACTAGAATGTAGTGTAACCAGCAGTTGAACTTTTGAACAATATTACTAAAGACCTGTAAACTGAGATTCGTATCATTGGCTTTTCTGTTTCACCTTGTTTAGACTGTTATGTTCACGGCGACAATGCCTCCACAAGTAGAACGCTTGGCCAGAAACTATCTAAGGTCAGTTATCGGTTTGACTATTTACTGAAACTGTGTTTTGTAAATAGATGTGCTTTATTGACGATCTATCCGCATACAAAGCCGCTCTCATTAACTATAAATAACTAAATAATAAATAATTCCGGTATATACCCCCGGTAGATTTCGAGCAGTCTCTCTTTATTCTTGGTCCGTCGAGCAAAACGCGCGTGACTGAAGGCGCGAGACGGGAGAGGCCCGAAAAAAGAGAGACTCTCTTTTGTCTTCTCGGGCTGCCGCCCTCGTTTCTTGCGTCTTGCTCGACGCTCGCGCGCGTGCATTTCCCTCTCCACATCTGAAGAATAAGAGAGACTGCTCGCATTCTAACCCCCCAGCAGTATTTACCGCGCCAAGGCTAGTGAGACCGAGCAAACGACTGAAAGAAATAGGTCAAATAGACCATTTCCGTACTCGAAAATCCCTCACTTTAAAAAAGCGAGGCCGTGTGCATGACCCCATTTGTGAAAATGAATTTAATTTGCTTGAGAATTAAAAAATCGTTTTCATATCAGAGACTTTGCACACTTAGCTTCGTTTTAAAACAGGGGCTTGGGACAACTTGGAATTTGCCCATACACGTAACTGTAACAAGACTAACAATACCAACTGCGTAGAGGCAAATCAGTTGGATATTTACAACCTTGGTTGAGGATTTGAACAAATCCAGCAAGCGATTAGGGCGGGTATTGAACCCAGGGTCTTCGGATAGCAAGTCCAACGCCTTAACCGCTCTGCCACGCTGCCTCCTACCCTTGAATCCCCAATATCAGCACCTATATTCCAGTTCTCATCATATTTATCATCACCTGTACGTTTAAGCAGTGATACGTTAGGGAGCAATTAGATGTTGATCTACACCATAAAACGAGGAGCATTGACGAATGATTCTTTGTTAAAAAGCAATCTCAAGTGACTGGGAACCTAACATTGTGATGGTTTGTTTTTCCTTCAGGCGCCCAGCTGTGGTTTACATCGGTTCTATAGGTAACTATTGTTAAGATCAAGTCTGTTTTAACCTTCCTTCAACGGGATATACAGTGTAACAGGGATCTTTCTATTTCTTTTTTTTCCCTTTGCTGGATTATTACGGTCACACATCGGTCATTGACGCTGCATGTCCAACCAATTTTACACCATACTGAATTATGCCAGGGATGATTTCCTGAAAAATAGCTTACCACGTTATGATCTCAACTGCAGTTGTCAGGTTCAACTTGCGAGCCTGGTTCCTCAAAAGATATCAGCTAAGTTTAACCCAGGGTAAAACCTAATTTTAAGCAAAGTTTTCTTGTCTAGAAAAACATAATTGGAGGTTTTGAAATGTTGTCCAGGTTATTAATGCAGGCAGCTCTTCTATTTGTGTTTCTGTATTAAAGTAATTGAATTTTCTCTCATCACTTCACAGGCAGACCAGTCGAGAGAGTGGAACAGAAAGTTTATTTGGTTAAAGAACAAGCGAAGAGGTACGCCTACGTGTATCATCCTTTGTATGTTTATTAAACTGTAGCAACGTATGTAAATTTATTAACGCGAGATTAATTGCGGTGTACTGTAGTTTTTTTATCGTAAAACTCTGCTCTTCTTTTATGTTTGTCTATCCTGGCACTTCATATCTTATCTCCAAGCTACCAATAACGTTTTGCTGTGTATCTTTTTGTCTAATTCAGATGAATATTAACTCAGACTGGCATTTTGGTGCTATAGGTAGAAAAGCGACTTTTGATTAGTATTGTGAGAAAACTGTCATATAGTTGTTGTTATATAGCTGGAAATTTCTTCCCAATAGCGCGCGCTCTCACTGGTTACTTCGAGGTAACATTACATCTAACAGTTAAACTGTTTCCCGCCAAAATCTCTTAGCAGGCAACATTGCGAAATCTATGACGTCAGAGGGTAACAGTGCACTGTTACGTACGATCGTTGACCGTTACAGCGAGGTTTAAGGAATTTCCATCTATTTAACAAATCACTTCGGGAAACAGTTAATTTTGTTTCCGTTGAATTTCAATGTCTCCCTCGGCTTATTAGGAAATAATATTAGCTGTTTCGCTCGGGACCAGTCATTTTAAAAGTGTTTGTTGTTGTTTCCTTGACAGGAAGAAGTTGTTAGAGATATTGAACGCAGGCATTGATCCTCCGATCATGATATTTGTCAATCAAAAGAAGGTGAGAGTTGCGTGTCACCGCAGCGGGTAGTTGAGATGGCGTGCACAAAAAAACCCACGGAAATTGAGCGGAAATCGGTGAGAGCGAGGGCGGAGCTCTTATGCACTGACTCCCTCCTTGGGATAGTTTGAACGAGATGGGCACGCGAGGAAGGAGGGAAGCCATCGCGCGAATTTTATGTACTCGCGTGCCTTACATCCCCTTTTCCAGTCTTCAATGCTGGCTAGTCTTCGTTCGCACCTTTACTTTTGTTCGTTGTTTCTATCTGAGATCTTGCGACAGGCTGTCAGGGACCTTTAGGCTATGATCGCACTATACCGGATAGATTTTGCGCAGACACAAAAACCATACCAGACACTAGGGCTTCTGTTCACACATAAGAACGATGGTTTCGGAGCGGTTTCTGTAACGGAGCGAAGCTGCGCCACGCCGATCTCGTAAGTGGAGAGTCACATATCGGATAAGTTTTCGTACTGTACCGGATACCTTCTCGCTTCGGCACGAAAAGCTGTCCGTTATAGTATGAACACAGCCTGAGATTCGATTACGAGTAGGATATTGAGTGGGAGCTTTTAATTGAGCGGAGATCGGTGAGAGCGAGGACGAAGCTCTCATGCACTGACCCCCTCCTTGTCTTCGTTTAGCCCGCGTGGAAGGCGTTTGAAGGGGATAGGGTAAACGAAATGGGCACGCGAGGAAGGAGGGAAGCCCTCGCGCGCCTTTTATGGACTTGCGTGCCTTGCTCTCCCTTTTCCCGTCTTCAATGCTGGCTAGTCTTCGTTCGCCCCTTTAGTTTTCTCCGCTGTTTCTATCTGAGATCTTGCGACAGGCTGTCAGGGACCTTTAGGCTATGATCGCACTATACCAGACAGAGTTTGCGCCGGCACAAAAACCATACCAGACACTAGGGCTTCTGTTCACACATAAGAACGATGGTTTCGGCGCGGTTTCTGTAACGGAGCGAAGTTGCGCCGCGCCGATCTCGTAAGTGGAGAGTCACATATCGGATAAGTTTAGTACTGTACCGGATACCTTCTCGCTTCGGCACGAAAAGCTGTCCGTTATAGTATGAACACAGCCTGAGATTCGATTACGAGTAGGATATTGAGTGGGAGCTTTCAAACCTAGTTCATGAGCTCCAGATAAACACTTTTCACAACAATCTCTTACGTCTCTCTAAGTTTTGTTAGCAGCAGGAAAGAGTGAGAGCCCTGAGAACATAAATGGCTTGAAGTGAATTCCAATGTCATACTCCTAGTCGATGATCTCGCACTCCAAATCAAATCTTAAGGTTACTTAACAATTATTCCTCGAGCCCGAATGGGCTATTGACTCAGAGGCCATGAGGGCGAGAGGAATAGTTGTTTTAGTAAAATCCAACTAGTTGGTCCAAAATATGGAGAATAAAAAAATTTTAGCTAGTTAAAGCTAGACTTTAATCTTTTTTTGCCGCCAAAAAGCGCGCGCTTTTCGCCACTAGTAGGCTTTAAGTAGTAGTAGCTCAACCAATCAGAACGCAGCATTGATAATAGACCACTAGTTGGATTTTACTAATAATTGTTACTTATGAGACAACATATCTGCAATAAAGTTTTGCTGATTAACTCTTTTTCCGTCTGTTTTAGGGAGCGGACGTGCTCGCCAAGTCCCTGGAAAAAATGGGCGTAAGTTATCGTTTGTGTCTTTGGGCGTCGGTGATTTTATATCTTTCCTCTTCGATGTTGTTTTACCAGTGGCTGCTTGAACGCCATTGCGAATTACTTAATTGTTTTTATATAAGAGATTTTTGGGCCTGGTAAAACGAGCAAATCCTGTTTTCGTCG